GTGTATGTGTGTGTGTGTATGTGAACAGACTTTTTGCCGTAAATCGACCTTTTCTCTAAAAACGGCTGGACCGATTTCAAAAATTTAAAAGCCATTCGGTGTATCTCGATGAGGACTATCGTTTCTGAGTTTTGTGCGGCGATCGGCCGGGCCGTTTCTTTGTAAATTGCACAAAAGTGAAAAAATTTTCGTCTACGTTTTAGCCCGCAATTCTGAATCGATTTTGAAAATTCAAAAACCGTTCGAAAGATATTGGTTGGAAATCGTGCTGATTAGTTTTTAGTAGAGATCGGCCGGACCGTTTCTTGTAATAAAGTTTTAGATTATTTTCTTGATGCTAGATACCATAGTCTTCTAGATCATACTCTAATATTACGGCCCTACGACAACTGGTTCAGCTTTAAAAATTCGTCAAAGTTTGCAAAAATTGGTATCGTTGTTTTGGCATTTGTCAAAATTAGACCTTTGATCGACGTTTTCTCAAAAACGCCTGAACCGATTTAGAAATTTAAAAGCCATTTGATGTATTTCGGTGAGGACTATCGTTTGTCAGTTTTGTGCGACGATCTGCCAAGCCGTTTTCTTTGCAATTTGAAAAAAAGTGTTAAACTTTTCATCCACATTTAGGCTCATACTACCGAGCATTTAATATTCCTTTTCCGAATAAACTCAGATGTTGTTTTTTTGTCAGAAATACTTCAAATTTCTGAATTGCCCAAAAATTTATTAATTTACAAAATTATCGTAATTTGTCCTAAAAACAAAAAAAATGACTGAAAGTGTGCAAAATGCTGCAAATATTGCAATTGATTAAAAATATCTTGAAATGTTGGAGTTTGCTTGCAAATATAACAAAATCAGAAATAAACTTGGTTTTTAGTTTTTTGCCAGAAATACTGAATTGTCCAAAAATTTTACTAATTAACAAAAATATCGTAAAAGGTCCTTAAGACCAAAAAATTGTGTAAATTGCTGCATATATTGCTTTATTAAATCATATTTTGAAATGCTAAAAAATGTTGCAAAATTAAGCCAAATAAGAAGGCTTAGACATATTGCAGTTGGAGTTAATATAGACCAAATATAGCTCCATATTACCAAAATTACATTTTGCCGAGCATGTTGCGAATTACGAATTGACTTTTTTTATTGTTTATTTGTTGACTTTGTATGCACGTACATCAGTCATATACATTTTGCAATTAATCTTCACACTTTTATTTTATTTGCAAAGATTTTCTGAAATACCAACAAGCTGACTAAAAGAGCATGAATTGCCCCTAATATTGCAAATTGATTAAATATGTCGTAAAAAATAATACGAGAAAATATTACAAATTTACTGCACTCAATTTATATTCTCACTAAAAATCCACAAAGAGATTTAAACAACACTATTATGCTACTAATTGTAATATTGAAGGAAAAAAATAATTAAATTAAGAACAAACTTGTTCGTACGTGTTTCACTTGAAACAGGCGGTACGCTGATTTTGTCTCCAACCTGGATCTAGCCCTCGTTTTAGGTTGTCGGCGTTTTAGGCGTACCGCAAGCGTACTGGTTGTGAATGGGGAACGTACTATAGTGAAAATTTTGAGAGTTTTAAATGTACTGTATTACTGTAATTTTATTTTGTCAATTGTATTATTTTATCTAGATTCAGTTTACTTTTCAGAAAAAATCTCTTGTTCTTAGATGTTTTAGAGACAGTCTTAAAGTTAATAATCAGAGAGTTGTTTTTTATCAACTTGGAAGCACCCTGGGTGCAAGAAAGTTTGAAAACACCCATATTAAGGACCACCCCAAATTATATATATATATATATATATATATATAAATGTGTGTATTTAGATGAGTGTAAGTGTTGTGTTTGTAGGTGTTTGTAGGTGTTGGTGTTTATTTGATATTCTGTATCAAGCAGCGCGCTCGTTTTATGAAATATTTCGTTTATGATCAAAAGGGATGACAGCAACGAGAACAAAGTAAATAAACAGAATATTAATACATTCGATTTACAAAGCGGCAATTTTATTATTTGCCATTTCTCATCATACACCTTCCTCACTTTATAGTACACATGTATAATGTATGCATGAGAGTCGAATGAATTTTATTAATTGGCGAATATATACATACATACATTATATATATTAAAAAAAATCCATATTAAGTGTTTCTGGAAAGCTAACATAAGTTATAAATTTTTTTTTAAGGGTTTGCGTTTTTTTCATAAATAATAGTTATTTAATTTGTTGTATAAATGTATAATTATTTCGATAACTTGAGAAAATCGAATGCCCTCTTTTTCAGCGCTATGAATTATTATAATTATCATTTATGTTGCTTAAGACAACAATAAGACGATTTGAAAGATTTAAATTTATGTACAATATTTTAAAAATACTAAATTGGGGCATGGACAAAATTTTTTTTGAAACAATACGATATACAATTTCCATAAAAGTTAAACTATACTGTTTTTGAGATAGGGTCCAGAGAGAAAATTATGAAGTATGATACTTCCAACAACTTCCCATTATTGCTTTCAGTCAGTAATTTACATTAACATGATCTGTAGACCGAATTGTTTTTCAAGAGTCAAAAGCAAGTTTTCTTGTTGATTGTATACAGATAGATTTTGTTTTTGTACAGATAAATTAGTATTTAATTACCAGCAATTAGTTTTTGTTGTAAATTAACAAAAAAAGTAGCATTACCGAACCCAGTCTTCTCTATAATAAATTATATCAAACTACCATTTTTTTAAATATACTATACTAGATAGTTTTTAATAATATAAACCAAACATTTAATGAATAGTTAAGAGTGTTTTATAATTCAAGTAAAAAAAATTCTTTCTCAGTTCTACAATTTTAAATAATTTTATTACTACAATGTTTAGAGACATCTAAATTTCTTCTATTTTTTTAATTTATTTTTTTATACTGTTTGTATTAAAATATTTTTTTCCTGACGGCCTGAAGATGAAAAAAATGTTAAAATTTTGTACCTATTTAAAAAAAATATTTCTGTTTCGAAAAATATGAATTAGTAATAAATGTAGGATTCATGAATCATATATAAAATATATAATAGAGGTATATATATAGTAGAGGTCCTTAATATGGATATTTTCGAATTTCCTTGCTCCCAGGGGCTTAAATGCTTTCCAAGTTGATAAAAATAAATCCTTTACAAGTTTTAGCTCTTAATATTAACATTTAGATAGAGCGCAATTCAATCAAACTTCGTATGGAAATAGCATAGAAAAATTTTGAAAATTAAAAAAAATTGCAATGAATGAATTAAATTGAAAATTTGTGTCATTTTTTATTGAAAATTCGACGCTCTGCAAAATTTTCGAAAATTTTTTCATGCTATGTCTATACAATCTTTGATTGAATTGCGCTCTATCTAAAAGACAATATTAGAGCTGAAATTTTCAGAAAATTATTTTTATCATTTGGAACTATTTATGCCCTTGGGAGCAGGAAATTCAAATATGTCCATATTAAGGACCACCCTAATATACATATATAATTTACATTTCTTCATAAATAACATCAATCAATTATCATTATTTCTAATACATTTTCTTAATTGAGAGAGGTGGCTATTATTCGGAACGCTTGTCCAACAAGTTGTCGTTTTTCCACGAATAAGGGGGCCATCGTCGAGCATTGGAAACGCTGTTAATCGTCCATGGGGGGCGCCGTTAATACAAGAGGGGACCCCCCAATGGACAGTTTATCATTTTTTATGGAGCTCTCGCGTCGCATTAATATAATTACCTCATTGTGTTCGTGGATACTATATTGGGAACTTAAGGCCGCCGGATCGATTACATAGAAATAAATATATTATAAAGATATAAAGATATAAGTATATATATATATATATATATATATATATATATATATATATATAT